GACAGGCTACTGGGCTAGATGGACCTTTGGTCTGACCCAGTACAGCCATTCTTATGTTTTTATGTTCTAAGCTCATGGCTCAGGGTCGGGGTCTCACTGGACCACCTTGATTTTCATTCAGACCTGCTCCTGGGTGGCCAGCGGGCGGGGTGGCAGCAGGTGGCTGGCTCGTGCCATGCCAGGTGCAGGGTCTCCTGGCTGGGTGCTGGCAGGCTTGCACCTGGCACAGGCTCCGTAGCCAGACCATGCCCCTTTAAGGGCTCCAGGGCCTGGAGGGGGGCAGACGAGTTTCCCTGGTGATGCCCACAGTGGCCACCAGGGCAAGCTGGGAAGGGCTAGCCTCCCACTAGTTCGAATTAAGTGGCTACACAGCCCTTAATTCGAACTACTTAATTCGAACTAGGCGTTAGTCCTCGTGGAATGATGTTTACCTAGTTTGAACTAAGCGCTCCGCTAGTCGAATTAAGTTTGAACTAGCGGTTTGTATGTGTAACGCCTATCAAATTTAATTCGAACTAACGTCTGTTAGTTCGAATTAACTTTGTAGTGTAGACATACCCTTGGTGAGGTAGGCAAGCAAGTGGGAAAGCTGAGAACCGGCTCTTCAGGGGGGGTCCCTTTAAGCATGAGCGTCAGATAGCCTCAGACAGCAGCCCTGTTGGAACCAATTTCAGCTGCCCTTAAATGAGATCCAGCATCCAATCACTGTGGACGTGCTATTTCAAAATAGTTTTTGGGTCTCGATGCGTTATTTCGAATTAACATAGGCCAGTGTTGTGAGCTAGTTCTGTGTCGGATGGATGGAGAGGAACCCCTACATGTTGAACCCAGCCCTGGTTGCTGCTAGTGCTATGTGGCAGAAGGGTTACACTTTTTAGATATTGATTAGTGTGAGCTCATTAATTTGTAGATGCTAACACTCTGTTCCTGTCTCACAATGCAGCCTTACTGCATCCAGTTGAGTCAGATGGCAAAAGGGAGGGCATTATTGGGATGGGAATTGTAGTATAATTTTATTATAGACCTCGTTTCTCCTTGAAACTTGTAACCCCACCTATTGTACTACCTGGGAACTGTTTCAATGGTTAATTGCATTATGTTAATGAATATATGTAGTTGCCTAGATAGCCATAGAACCAAGTTAGCTTCAAAGCAATAGTTCTTTATCTAATCTTCGTCCCAGAAAGACTCAGAGAATTTGAATGAACTCTGCACTCAGTTACCTATTAAACTATAATCTTTTAAACCAGGGGTTCTCAAACTTTGTGATACCATGACCCCCCTAAAATGCTAAATGAATTTGTGTGACACCCCATCCCTCACTGCCCTGGGTCATTTCCTCCCCCCTTCTTACCAGACTCCTTGCCCTCCTGGGGTTCCTTCACGGTGTTTGCGATCATCAACACTCTTCCCCTCTGCAGGATCCTTCCCCCCATCTCTTTCTCCTCTGTGCCTCTTTTCCACTCTGCGTCCCTTTGGTTGAGTGGTTGATTGGTTGGTTCCTTCCTCTCCTCTCCTTTCCTCTTCTCTGCTCTGACCCCCACATGCCCTTATTTACCTCCAGGACCTCTGCCCCGACCCAATCCCCCAGCCCACTGCCTGAGGGACCCCGCCCTCTCCCAGATGAGGAAGCATTT